TATATGGTTTAAAGGAGTTGTGGGTGGTAAAACAGCGGGGGATCCTCAGGACCTCATTCAGTATGGTCATGTTCAAAGTGCTCACGTTTAGAGCAACAGTGCAACAAATAATGAACACAAAGATAACTAGAATCCTCTCTGTCGTGTTCTTACAAAGGGTAAAATTCACCCCTATGCAGAAAGCCAGCACAAACGCTATGTAGCACTTAAGACCTCAAATTTTCATTCAAATTCATTAAATGTAGTGCTTTTACTTTTATGCTGCCACCATGTGATTGCTCATAGCAAATATTCTGTTTGTTGCTCATGTATAAAGTTACTGTCAGTGAATAAACAGAGATGCTGCTGGAATGCTCCCAGCACAGCAGAAGGGTGCATGATTCTTTGCTTTTGGCTGTCTCCTATTTATAAAAAATAAACCCCACTCTGTCCATACTGGGAGCAGACTCATATTAGTAACAACCATGTTTCCAGTTTGGCTAGGATCAGACAATCAACATCTTCTTATGCAGCAGAATGGCTCCTTGTGAGTATTCTGAATTATCTCTTCCTATTTCACTGGCAAAAATAAGCTTGCACTACTACTTGCTCGGTTAGTCTTGCAGAGCCTAAACAGCTACGAAAGTCTGAGCTAGATACTATTGCCACCCATGCATCAACAGAATTGCAGAATCTTTATTACTACCGTAGTTATGATGCACAAGCAAGCAAGACTCCATCTTGACTTTCAAGATACTTTCAAGTTTCCAGGTAGAGCTTCCAGATCTGGCAGTCAGAAAAAACGTGATTTGGCTTGTAAAGTGAGCAAAACTGACATAGGCTCATTAAAGGACTAGTAATATACAACCTTATGATCACGGCCAGATTTACACCTTACGCGCTCTAGGCACAGCATCTTCAGCACCCAACCGGCCTACAGCAATCTTTGTGTTTTCCATAAAAAATTAAACTCTCCCCTGTCTCTGCCCCCACAGCCCTAGAACTTGCTCTGTTCCTCCCCGCCGTAGCCCCTCAACGCAGGGATGCCCGCCCCTAGCCCCCCTCTCCATGGGCGGAGCAGCCGGGGTGGCCAGAGCACAGCCTC